ACAGGTCGCCAACTTGAAAAAGAATCCCTTATCCCAACCTGCTGTTTTCTGCCTATTAGCCAAATTCACTATCCATGCCAATATACTATCTCCAACAACGTGGGCCTATGACTTAACCTTTTGTGAGGTACCTTGTCGAATACCTTCTGGAAATCCAAATACATCTACTGGTTTCTCTCTATCCACTCTGGTTGTGACTTCCTCAAAAAACTCTAATAAATTAGTCAGACAGTATTTCCATTTCATGAGGCCATGTTGACTCTGCTTGATTATGATTTTTCAAATGTGCTGCAATTACTTCCTTAATAATCACTTTCCACTGTCTCTTCCCTCCTTTTACTTCTCCTTATGCCTCTCTCTTTGCCCCTTCACTCCTTTCCTCCCATTCTTCCCAATTCTCTCAAATTCCTCTTCTACTTCCTGCCGTCTTTCTCAGTCTCCCTTTCTGGCTCTCACTCTTCTTTCCCACCTCTCTCTTCTCCAATTTCTTTCTTCCCCCTTTCCCTTTCACTATCCTCTGTCTTTCTACCTCTCGCTTATTTTCCTCTATCTTTCCCACAGTCTCTTTGCCCTCTCTCATTTCTCTCCTTTGTTTCACACCTCTCTTTCAACTCCTCTTCCTCTTTCGTCCTCTCTTTCCATTTGCTTCCCTCTCTTTCCCAACTTTCTCTCTTTTTAGACACCCCTCATTACACACACTCCACATCTCCGCTCACTCTACTTTTTTGCCCCCTCTTTCGATCCCCTGTCTCTTCCCACCTCACTTTCCCCATCTCTCTCTCTCTACTGCATCTCTCTCTCTTCCGCCGACTCTCCCCTAGCCTTGTCCCTCTTTGCCCCTTTCTCGATCATTGCCACCTCTTGGCCTCCGTCTCTTTTTACCCAAATCCCTTGCCCTCTCTCTTATACCCCTCTTTTTCTTCCACCTCTTTCCATCTCTCGCTTTTCCTCCCTCTACCACTTCAACTCCTTCCCCTGCTCTCTCTCTCAAATTCACCTTCTGCATCTTTCTCCCCACTCTTTCTTCACCCACTCTCATCTCCTCTCCCCCGATTTGAGTTCACCATTTCTCTTTCTCCCTCTTCCCTTCACTCCACCCCATCTCTTCCTCCCATTATCCTCCCTCTCTCGTCACCTTTCTCTTTTCCTTACTCTCAATCTTTCCTTCTCGCCCTCCCTCTTTCCCCGCTTTCTCTCTCTTTCAACACTCTCAAGGCTTATTTGTATTCATTGTCTCTCTTCCTCCCCCTCCCTTACTCTTTCCCCTTGCCCTTGCACTCTCAATCCCTCTCTCTCCTTCCCCCACTATTTTTTTCCCTCTCTTGTCCTCCCCTTTCTCATCATTTCTCCCTCCTTGCTCTTTGTCCTCGTTCCTTTTCTTCCCCCACTCTCTTCCCCTTTCTCCGCCTCCCTCTTGTCTCATTCTATTCCTTCCTCTCTTTCGTGCCCCTTCTCCCTTTTCCCCTCTTCTCCTTCCCCATCTTGGCACTTGCTTGTCCCCCATTTCCCTCTCTTCTCTCCAGATTTTTTGCCCTTTTACCCCTTTTCCCACTCTCTCATTCTCCCCCATTTATATTCCCTGATCTCTCATTTTCCATCTCCTGTCTTTTTCCCTCTGCTCTCTTCTCTCTCATTCTCTATTGCTAGCATGTCTTTTTCCTCCCTTTCTCACATTCTCTTCCCCCCAATTGCCCCTCTCTCTCCTTCATCTTTCCACCTCACTCTCTTACACCTCATCTCATTCACTGTGTGTCTAATTGCTGTCATCTCGATCACCTTATATCTTTTCCATTCTATCTCTCTTTCCCTCTCTCTCTCCTTTCCCCAACTTTCCACCTCATGCTCTTCCTCTCCATTTTTCTTTCACCGTCTCTCATTGGCCCCTTTCACTCAATTTCCCTCTTCCCCCATCTTCCTTCCCTCCTTCCCCTTCTCTCTCTCCCACTCTTTTCACACTCATTCCCTCTTTATCTTCCTGCTCTCTCTCATTCCCCCTCCCTTTTTCTACCTTTCTCTCTGTCCCCCATCTTTGTTTGCCCACTATCTTTCTTTCCCATTCTCTCTCTAACTTCCCCATCTCTTTCCAGCCCTTTCTCTTCCTCCTCTCTCATCATCACCATCCACTCTCTCTTCCTCCTCTCTCATTTTCCCATTTTTCTCTGTCTCCCCATCTATTTACTCAAATGGTTCCAGGAATGACATGAGGATAGACTGAAGAAATTTGGGACTGTTTTCCTCCGAGAGAAGGCGGAGAGAAGATGTGATAGAGGTTTTCAACCTCATGAGAGGGCTGGATACAGTAAACACGGCGAAGCTGTTCCCATTCATAAAATAAGAACAAAAGTGCCTAGGATTAAAGAGATGTGCAAATTAGACAAGGGTGATGTGAGAAACAGCTTTTTCACACAGAGTAGTTAGGGTCTGGAACGCACAGTCTTGAAATGTGATGTTGGCAGGTTCCATTGAGGAATTCAAGAGGGTACTGGTGGGTTATTTGGGTAGATGGGACAAATAGCTCCTTCTGCACTGCAATAATTCCTTCATTCTGTCTTCCTGCCTCACTCACTCGGTTGACCCCCCCCATTCCACTTTCCAGCCTTACTTGCCCTCTCTCTGACCCAGTTCCCTCTGTCTTTGTTCTCTTTATCCCCTTCGTTCCCCCTCGCATTCTTTTTCCTTCAACCTCTCTCTTGATAACCAGCCAGTTCCTCCACTTCTTCACTTTCTTTCACCACTCCCTCTTTCTTCCCCTCTCTCATCATCTCTCCCTACTTCCTCTCTTCTCCCACTTCCTTTCCCCCTTTTCTCCTCTTCCTTGCCTGGCTTGGAGTCTCACTCTCCCCACTTTTGCGCACCCTTTCCTTCTGCCTCACCATTCCTCTCTCTAATCCCCCCTCTGTTGCCCCATCCATCTTTCACTGTCACTCCCCCACCCTGCTCTTCCTATTTCATCTTACCCTTCTTTCTTCCCTTTCACTCACTTTCCCTATCAATCTCCTCCCCCTCGCTTTCTCCCACATTCTTTTCACTCTCTCTTCTCTTTTCATCCAATTTGATTCAGAACTTTCAATTCTGATCCACCCCTAAATCGGTCTGATATTTTTCTTTCGTTCCCTATTTCACTCAACACTGTGAACATGCTCTATCCTCCCTCTCATAGGGTCACTTCAATATGTTATTATGATACACACTGAGTTTTATTCCTGACTGAAGTACTCACTACATATTGACTTTGTTTTTGATTCGATAAGGTCCAGTGAAGCTCACTTTCAATCATTAACCAAAGACAGTTAACAATACAAACACCTTGGTCCAGCAACAAAATTCTAAGCTTTGGCATTTTTGTACACTCTAGTTTTCATTGTTTGCTGATTGAGTTTCAAGTGCTTTTTGGCCAGCACACATGCTTTGGTTCATTTTCCCCGGAAATTTGACACATTGGTCAGAAATATACACAATATATTAAGACTCTACGTGAGACCTGGGTGTCCCGTCTACCAGTTGCTGAAAGTAAGCATACAGGTGCAGCAGGCAGAGAAGGAGGCAAATGGTATAGCTGGCCTTCATAGCAAGAGGATTCGCCTACAGGAGTAGAAATATCTTGCTGCAACTGTGCAGGGCCTTGTTGAGATCTCGGGTGGGAGTAGTATGTGTAATTTTGGTCTCTTTGTCTGAGGAAGGGTGTCCTGGTTATGGAGGAAGTGCAACAATGTCTAACCAGACTGATTCCTAGGATGGCAGCACGGATGCATGAAGAGAGATTAGATTGTTTAGGACTAGAGTCATCGAGGTCTACAGCACAGAAAAGGCTCGTTAACGTTCCCACCAGTCAAACACAACCACCTAATTATTCTAATGCCATTTTCCAGCACTTGGCCCACAGCCTTGGCATCACAAGTGTACGTCTAAATACTTCTTAAATGTCGAGTGATTCTGCCTCTACCACCTTTACAAGCAGTGAGTTCACCCTCTGGGTGAAAAGGTTTCTCGTCACGTCTCCTCTAAACTTTTTGCTCCTTACCTTAAATCTACGCCCCTGGTCATTAATTCCTCCTCACCCTCACCCAGTCAAGGGGAAAAATTCTCCCTGTCTACCCATATTGATGTCCTCAAAATTTCATACGTCTCAATCATGTCCCCTTCCAATCTCCTCTACTCTAAGGAAAACACCCCAAGACTGACACTTCACTCTTCATAACTGAAACTCCCCAGACCAGGCAACATTCTGGTAAACGTCCTCTTCCCACTCTCCAGTGCTATTGCGTCCCTCCTATAATGTAGATTCCAGACCCGCATACAATAATCCAGCTGTGGCGTAACCAATGTTTTATACAGTTCCCCAGCATAACCTCCCTGCTCTTAAACTCTGTGCTTCGGCTCTTAAAAGGCAAGTACCCCATATGCCTTCTTATCCACTGGCCTGTCTATATCGGCTTGTAATCTAAGGCTATCCTCCTCACTTTTTAACCACCTCACCAAATTTTGTATCATCTGTGAACTTACTGATGGACCTCCTACATTCAAGTCTAGATCGTTTATATTATTTTCCTCACTGTGCTTTCTTTCATCTGGCCCTTTCTGTCCCATCCTCGTTATCTCTCTCTCTCTCTGTGTCCCCCACCTCTGCTTCTGCCCCTCTTCTCTTCCCCTATCTCTCTCTCTTCTCCGAAATTCTATTTGTTGTTCCGAACTATCCTTGTCCACTATGTGAACCCTCTTCAGAGAACTGTTACTGTGCAGAAGGTCATTCAGCTCATTATCTTGTCCGCCTCTCTGTACCCCCACCCCCAACTCCACCCATTGCATTTTTCTCTCTGTCTCCATCTGCCTTCTTCTATTTTTCCATCCTCCTCTCCTCTCTGTCCACTTTCAGAAAATAAACTGTCGACAAATTATGGTTTCTGGCCTCAAAAGTATGATTTAATCTCTCCGGGGGGAAAAAAAAAGCAAACAAAACGAAACAAAAAAAAAAAATACACGTGTTATCTACAAAAGCAGTGTTAAACCAGAACTAGTTTCAATTTTATTATATAAAAAAAACCCTATTCACACTACCACGGCCCAAGTGCCTGCTCAATTTCCTGAATGGTCTACGATTCAGCCAGGTTACTCAACAAGACAAACCAGGGCAAAGCGAGAGATTGTCCAGAAACTCTGGGAGGACTGCTGCCAGTCACTGCTCCCTCCATCTTCAAAAACCTCTTGCCGTATCTGCACAGCCACGACCACTGGTTGGGAAACATCCTCTCCGCGTCTGTTTGTTTGTTTTTTTTTTGTTTTGTTTGTTTCATTTGTCTTGTTGTTTCTTTGGTTCGTTCCCGTCCTGTCCGTCTCTCACGTTCACGTGTCAGAAGGGCTACAATTGCTCCTCTCGTCCCCAGCTCCATCCTGCTTCACTTGCTGCGCTGTGAAGCAATGCCTCCTGCCTGTTGTTTCTGTTCCTGATGCTTTGCCTTTTGCACAATCTCTCGAATTTTTCGCTGAGCCGTCTGCAGCGGGCGGGGGGGGCATGGAAAGAGGGGAGAGAGACACAAGACAGTGCGTCAGACGGAAGGACACAGATGCAGCACAGCAGCTACAACATCTCGCCTCTGCTAAAGTCCAGGGGTGGCATAAACCCTCTGCCCTCCTGCAAACTGGCGAAGCATACGGTCCCCACTAGGTATGAATCAGCATCAGATCACGGCAGATCTGTACCTTCTCTCCATCGACTTGCCTCGTTTCCTCATTTAATTATTTTGTTTGCTCAGAGGATGTGGTGTCGCTGGCTGGGTCAGCGTTTATTACCCCATCCCTGATTTCCCAGAAGGCAATTAAGAATCAACCCCACTGTAGTCATGTGTAGGCTAAACCATGTATGGATGGAAGATTTCCATCCCTGAAGGGCATTGGTGACCCAGATGGGCTTTTACAGCAATTGACAGAACAGTTTTTTAGTCCAGACTATTTTTATCTAGTTCAAATTTCACCATCTGCCATGGTAGGATTTGAATCTATGTCACCAGACCATTAGCCTGGGTCTCTGGATTACTAGGATGATGTAGACTGTGGGATTAATATATATATAACTAATATTTATTTCAAATTTGGGTTTGGCTTTTGAATTAGCACCCGGTTGGTTTTGTGTGTGCCTGAAATTATGAATTAACTTGCAAATACTTCTATAACCATAGTGATTTCTTTGCAAACATGTTTTGAGATCCAGCTTTGAAGTGAATGAGCTTGTGTGCAGCACTAACGGCTATTTGTTTATTTTAGATTGTTTTATGATCCAGCAAGGTAAATAATGAGGCCTCCAGATTTGTTAAAGTCTTCGAAAACCTGCTTTTTTTTCAAACTGAAGACTAAGGAAAACACTCATAGCTTCGCGAGGGAACTTTTGGTTTCAATTTTACTTTTGAGTTTTGGAGCAGCCCTGTGAAATCCATGGAATAGGATGCCTATGTAGACCAGTGGTCCTGAGAAGGGAGCATATAATGAACTAGTCATCTTAAGTGGTTAGTGTTAGTCCCAGATCTCAAGTGTTGGGATAAAACCTTGAGGAGGCTACTTAAAGCTGAGTACCTTGAAGCTCAGCTGTATAATAGTGCCAGGAAGACATTCTCTGCAGTTCCAATCTAAAAGTTGAAGTCATAATTGACTTAAACCTACTCAGATGCTAGATACAGGGGCACTGGACTAAGTATTGCATAAGTGCTGTTTTGAATACTGTACAATTTTAAAAAATTTAACTTCTAAAGGAGTATTTTGAGATTAATGGGGTTATATTTTTACTGTGTTTAAAAATCTTTGGATTTGTATTAGAAGAGGATGTTTTCTTCCTTTGTCTTCATTTCTTTGGTAATACATTTCTGTTTTACTGTTGAATCAAAATTTGCAGCAGTGAGAGACCACCTCAGTAATACCAAAACAACCCAAACTTCGATCCATCAAACTGGAGTCTGACTTGTCCAGTAATAACATGAGCCCAGAGCCATAAATTGGTCTTAATCCTCTCACCTAATGTAAATCGATCTATCTCGGTTCTGAAAGGTTGAACGGACCCCCCGTGACACCGCGTGTTTGGGGGAAAAAGAATCTCAGATCCTCCACACCCTCCACACGAAGAGCTACTTCCTGCTGTAACCCATGATTAGCCTCATTTGGATCTTTAAGACAAGTTTCCGGTTCACCCCGTTTGTCACCAGCAAACCACCAGAGGGAGCAGTTTGTCTCCGAGCGCTCCATGATAAAATCCATTCATCAGGAAATGCCTTATTTAGGCCAGCCCCTTAATCTTCTGTATTGAACAGAGGATCAGTCTAATTGATGCAAGCTGCCTTTGCAATTTAACCATTGGATACCCGAGGTCACAGCAGCACAGACAGCACAGTGGCTCAGCGGTTAGTACTGCTGCCTCACAGTGCCAGGGACCTGGGTTCAATCTCGGCTTTGGGTGACTGCGTAGAATTTGCACACTCTCCCTGTGTCTGTGTGAGTTTCCACCAGCTGCTCTGGTTTCCTCCCACCATCCAAAGATAGGTGGGCTAGGTTGACCGGCTACGCTAAATAGTCTGTAGAGTCTAGGGATGTGCAGGCTAGGTAGGTTAGCCATGGTAAATGCGGGGTTACGGGGATGGAGACAGGGGGAGCTAAGTCTGGGTGGGATGCTTCTTGGAGGGTCGGTGACGACTTGATGGGCTGAATGGTCTCTTTCCTCATTAGGGATTCCATGATCACTCTGTTGAATGTGAGACCTGTACTTAATCCAGGATCAATGCTGCCTTCCTGAGGTGTGTCTCCCACAACAGGACACAACTGTCAAACTAGTGTGAGCACTGAGCCACTGTCACGTAATGTGGACTCTCTGACTTAGGGCCAACACTCCTGTGACCTTGTCTATTTGCCTGACGGCTCTGTACTCAAAACCCTGAATCCTTCATCGCTTTCCTAATTCGTGCTGTTTTGGAACGACTCACTCCATGAGTGCGTTTTCACATTCAGGGTGAATAACCGTTCAACACTCAGAGAATCCATCAGCAGCTTCCTGCTCCACTGTGTGCCTTAAACCTGCAGCTGTCAGCACATTGTCGCCTCACTCAGCTTGGTCACTGGTAAGGGTAGCAAACAACAAGGGTAGACCCCACAACAGACTGCGCCCAGACCCCACAACAGCTTTGACCACTGCCAAAACCCCCAAAAAACTACAGGAAAGCAATTATGACTGTCAACACTACACGTTGGGGGAGGGATAGAGATGGAGCTGGATGAATACAGGGAGGAAAGTGCGAGCAGTGGGATGTTGAATTACACAGTTCATGGAAACATAAATCTGTCAGGCGCATTGTAAGCTTTGCCACAAAGGTACAGAAAGAAAGACAAAGGTGGCCAGCTTTCATGGGGGGAACATGATTTGGGCTCACAGGGAAAGGGGATACAGCAGTGTGAGCAGATTGACTCAGACATCACCCAGAGACTCACATGTTCCGATTTCAGTGATTTTTTTGTCAGAGGCCTGTCAGCTTGGGTTACACGCACACAGAAATGCTACACTGTCGGAAATACCACTTTTCAAATGAGACATCAAACCGAGGAACTGTGTTATCTCACAGAATCCCTGCAGTGTGGAAAGAGGCCAATTGGCCCACTGAGTCTGCACCAACCCTATGAGGGAGATCCCACCCAGGCGCATTCCCCAACACTATCCCCGTAACCTCGCATTTATCATGGCTAATGGGGGGAGGCGATGGCCTAGTGGTATTATCACTGGACTGTTAAAGCAGTGACCCAGTTAATGTTCTGGGGACTCGGGTTTAAATCCCGCCACAGCAGATGGTGGAATTTGAATTCAATAAATATCTGGAATTAAGAATCTAATGATGACCGTGAATCCATTGCTGATTTTTGGAAAAACTCATCTGGTTCACTAATGCCCTTTAGGGAAGGAAACTGACATCCTTACCTGGTCTGGCCTATATGTGACTCCAGACCCACAACAATATGGTTGACTCTTTACTGCCCTCTCGGCAATTAGGGATGGGCAATAAATGCTGCCTGGTCAGCAACGCCCTCATCCCGTTAATGAATAAAAAAAAACCTAGGTCAAAAATCACATGATACCAGGTTATAGTCCAACAGGTTTATTTGAAAACACAAGCTTTCGGAGTCTCGCTCCTTCTTCAGATGTTAGTGAGAGAGGTGGCATCAAATACAGAATTCATAAGCCAAAGATGAAAGGGTCAGAGAACTGATGCAAATGTACTGAACAAACCCAAGATGGCTGCTAAATCTTTAATCAGTTAGAAAGGAGATGCAGGTTTCGATTGAATAATATGCAAATCCCAGAACTTCTTTCTTTCAAGTCACTGCCCCAAGATAACTAAAGGTTTAATCAATATATCAGAGTTGACATCTCAGCTCAGACAATGCATTTTAGGTGTGAGGCCTTGTTTAGAATCTGTCTGTGTTTTAACTTGGAGTCAGACTGGTTTCATTTTCAAAGTAGGAATTTATAAAATGCCACACTGACTGTCTAAAAATTATGTTTTTTTTGAACAAAATGCAATGTATTTGCAATTGTAAATTCACCCCACAGATTTACGTGAACGTGTGAGAGAGGGACAGAGACAGAGGGAGAAAGAGACAGAGAGAGAGTGTGTGTATGTTCGCACGTGCTTGATAGTGTGTATGCATGTGTGAAGGAGAGAGAGGGAGAGACTGTGTGTGTGTGTGCATGCGCGCGCTTGAGACAGAGAGTGTGTGTTTGTGTGAGAGAAAACCATCCCCTATGGACAAGCCCCACGCAAACAGAGGATCTGTTCAAATGAGGAGGAACGTGATGGACACCTGAAGGTGTTGAAGGATGCCCGCATAAGATATGATGCTCAACTCATCAATCACCAGTTCCGACATGCCACACCGAAAAACCGTGATCACCTCCTCAGAAGGCAGACATGGGAAACGACTGATAGCATACCCTTTGTCGTTCAGTACTTCCCAGGAGCGGAGAAACTATGCCATGTTCTTTGTAGCCAAAAACACATTATTGATGACAATGAGCACCTTGCCAAGATCCTCCCAATGTCTCCACTTCTCGCCTACAAATAACTGCCAGACCTTAAACAGACCATTGTTTGCAGCAACTTACCCAGCCTTCAGGACAACGTTCACCACAACACCATACAACCCTGTCACAGCAACCTCTGCAACACATGGCAGATCTTCGACATGGACACTACCATCACACGTGGGAACACCAACCATCATGTACACGGCAGATACTCATGTGACTTGGCCAATGTTGTCTATCTCATATGCGACAGGCAAGGATGCCCCGAGGCATGGTATATTGGTGAGACCATGCAGACTCTACGACAATGGATGAATGGACACTGCGCAACAATCGCCAGACAGGAATGTTCCCTCCCGGTGGGAGAACACTTCACTTGTCAAGGACATTCGGCCTTGGATCTTCAGGTAACTGCCCTCCAAGGTGGACTTCGGGATACACAACAATGCACAGTTGCCGAGCAGAAGCAGATAGCCAAGTTCATTACCCATAAGGACTGCCTCAATTGGGATCTTGGGTCCAGTTGCACGACAGGTGACCCCACCACACTATACACTCCCTCACACTCTCATATACACACACACACTCACCCAGACCCTCTCTCATACACACACACTCTCGCTTTAAAGTGCACACACACACACGCATTCACTCTCCCCTCGCGTGGCTGCACACACACTCTCCAACACACACACTCTCCCTCTCTCCCCCCCACACACACTCACTCTCCCTCTCTCTCACACACACACTCTCCCTCCTAAACACACTCTCTGTCCCCCTGTCTCACTCACACATATGCATGCGCATACACATACATACCCACACTCCCTCCCTCTCACAACACACACACACTCTCTCTCCCCCACACACATACACTCTCTCCAACCCCCCCACACACTCACACTCTCTCTCCCACAGACACAAACACACACACACTCTCTCTCCCCC